TAGGGCTTCTGTGTTCTGCCTTATCTTCTGCCGTGCTCACAGGGCTTCTGTGTTCTGCCTTATCTGTTGTCGTGCTCACAGGGCTTCTGTGTTCTGCTATGTGCCCTATTTTTTAGGGTTTGCTCTTGTGTTTCCGCTGCGAACTTTGCTTTAGTTTGTCACGTGTTTCACTCGTGGTTGACGAAAAGACCTTCTCTACAATTGGTGCTTCCCAAGTATGGTGTTCTATGACTCGCTTGTCAAGTTGGGCATGCGAAATATCTTTGCCCAACTTGAGGGGGAGTGTTGGCGAGTCCTTACTTAGTTAGGATTTTGGTTCCTTACTATGTTAGGATTTTAATTACTTACCAATTTATTTAGTCCTATTATAATAGAGATTTATTTCCTATTGTAATTTAGATATATTTCCTATTTTATTTAGGGTTAACACATCTTCGTACTTGTATAAATACCTCCATATTGGAGATGAGCAAATATGAGTGTATCTTAGCATAACTGAATATTTACCCCACTTTGTTTGACAGTAACTATGCAGGATTGGAATTACAAGACAAGGCTCTGTGCCAAAAACTTAAAACACAAATTTGGAAATTACCAAGTTCACAAACTAGTTGATGGAGCAAGAAAACACTAAAAATTGAATGGAATTTCACCAAAGCTTCAGACTTTGAGCAAATTCTCTGAAACCCAGAAAGGGGTTGGAAAGATATGAACTGGTTTCCATGCTAAAGTGAAGAAGTTGACCAATTGAACTGTGTACTAAATTAGAAGAAATTAGACATAATTTGGACGAAATTAGAAGAAATTTGACATAATTTGTAATGTGACCTTGAATTACACGGGATTTAAAAGTTAATAAGTGCAGAGGGTGTTGGAAGAGTTCCTGGGACTGCAACATCTTTCATGTTTACTGCTGCTGACTCTGTGGTAGTATTACTGGTGTACCTCAAGATGACAAGGATGACCTTTTAAGGCATAGATTGATTTATGTTTAGTTGTTCTCTAGGCTTAGCCCTCTTTGTAACAAAAAATCAAACACTTACAAACTATTTATTTCTGCAAAAGTTATTGTGCTCAACCCAACTCAACCCGCCATGTTAACTGGTCAACAGCCTCCAAAGTCAAGCCCAAGTTGACCAATAGCTTTGTTTTGAAGGGCTAGCCCAGCATGGTTGACTACCAATTTTTATTTTTTAGTTGAACAAAACGTGTTTGTTTAGTTTAGTTTCATAATAGATGCTAGTAATTTGAAAGTTAAATCTTTTTTTTTTCTTCATATTAACTGAATACTAATTATGTAAACTGTTTCCCAAATATCACATACTCTAATACTTTTAAGCAATTATCATAAAAGGATTCCATTTTGAGGGGTTGCTTCTTTGCAGCCAAATTTTGACCCTTTCATCAAATATTAATTCAGATAAGATTTACATTAAAAATCTTTATCAGACTGATTTGATATTCTAATTCTAAGGTTAATCTCAATTTAGTACCCTAAATTCTCACCCTTAAGGTATGTTTGCCCCTATACTCTCAATTTTAACAATCAAGTATCCTAATCTTTTTAATTTTTTGCAATATGATTCCAGTGTTAACTTCACCATCAAACTTTTCATTAATTGCCTATGTGACAGGTTTGGATTCCACCTATTCATTTATTTCGATGTCAATTAAATGATATTTTAAGAAAATTGGTGTATTTTAGGAATTTTATAAACATAGTAATTTCAGACCACAAATATAATAATTAACACAACCATTGCTGCTCACGAAAACACTTAACGCACCCATTCCAAAACAACAT